ACTTGACAGTTGGGGGGCGGGGGTTGGGCAGCAGCCCTCAAAAGAGCGGCTTATCTCCGCAAGGATGGGTGGTGGCCCAATACTACAATCCGGGGTTGGGGTCCGACCAGCAGGGAATGAGGGAATTAGGGCCCTACATAGACCCTTTAAGGGGGTCAGCATGACACTCTCCGGCGGCCTGAGCAGGAAGTGGATACGCTGTCGGCTCCGGTCGGGGTGCCCTGTGCTTCGGGTTTTTTTGTCCCACCCGTTTCGGGTGTAGGGTTCTTACTGTTGGTTAGTAGGCAATGGGGGGAGTGAGAGACCCTATATAATCCCTATTAAGGGTATATGTAGGGCCGTCATTCCTTCCTTCCCTGCTAACCAACAGGGAGAGTTGCCCACAGGTACGAATCCCTGCTTGTGACAACAGCCTGCAATGACAGGATTGTGACTCTCAAGGTCCTGGCCACTACTGGGCATTTCCCGAGTCTCGGCGATGCTGCTACAAGCTTGAAGCCCAAGCCCTAACAAACCAAAAATGTTCTAGTTTCTGGACCCAAGCCAAACTTGCCTCGTCGATCTGCAACGATGATGCGCTTCGCCAGCCTTCATCGCCGACCTCCACTCGACTGCCCTCCACAGTGAGCTGACCAAAACCAGGCCATGAAGACATGCAGAACGCACACTTCAACTTGAAACGGGCGTTGTACAGCACATTCCGAACTAGTTTAGGACTATTTGTGCCATTGTATGACCAAGCTCTGAGTTGTCAGAACCTGGCCCTATGGCTTCAGGGATTCGGGCCTGCCTGGCCTTGCAACCCTCGGCCACACAAACCTAGGCAACCAATCTACCAGAAGCCATCGGATCATACTTGCAAAAGAATGTTTCGGCTAACGCTTACCTCCAGCCCTGGGCTCGGGCTCACCCGCTCCGGTCCCACCGCAAGCAGAGCTTACAATACCGTGGTTCACCACAGGTCGGAACACTTGGATTTCAACAGTGTATTGTTATTTCAGTGTGCCCTTCTCGGCTGTATCACATCCACCCCACATAGCAGCAAGTCCAAAGGGAAGTACTTCCTACAAAGCACTCATAGCTGCGTGCTACTTTTGAGATCCACCAAGTTATCCCTGCTTGCCTCGCTGCACTTCGTGGACGGAGAAAATTCGGTGGCAAGGTCAACGTCTGTCAGCGGCAGACACTTGGACTCAGGTCGTCTGGTCGGCTTGGGGAGGCCTTGCACATGCCTAGAGCTTCGGTTCGCTTTTACGCACTGACAGAACATGGATTGTGGGGCAGCTAGGCGAGTTCAGCCGCGGGCTCGCAGTGATGTCTGAAGCGACGGGTCCTAGCAAGCGCACCTATGAATTCCAACATGGTTTAGACAACCACTGAGCCTCACTGAGCATCCCTGCAACCTTCAAGCCCCTTCAAGCACGGGCCTTCAGTCTTCGAGTACGACTCGACGGAAGCTATGGATCTCCTAAGCATCAGTGGAGGTTCAACCCTCTTCCCGAAGACTTGGAGGCGCTCATTTTACATTCCTTGAGGGGCGGGGAGACGTGTTCAAAGCATTTTTGGGGTTCGGGTAGACTTGTCGATGACTTGAAAGCTATGCTTTCGCAAATCTCGCAATCCTGCGGTGTTCATGTTGTTCAGCCCTGGACAAAAGCCGCGTCACTCCGCGCTTGGCTTGGCGCAGCAAACCCCTTCAGCTTCTTGAAAAAAAACGGACCGCTCCAATGCCAAGCCGGACCCCTTAAGTTCAGAATCACCAGTGACTCTTGATGGCACCTGGAAGTCCATATGATGCGCATCTACTTGCAGGCTTGCTGCTCGCTGATGAGCGGCTCAGTCACGGCATCCGTGTAGTCTGAGCCTCGGCTTGAGGGCTCAAGGACAGCGTCCACACATGATACTGCGACAAGGCTACTTGAGACAAGCGCCTGCACATCCAACACTAACCCCTTGAAGTGAAGCAACAATCTGGCAGTTGGCCGGTCTCCAATTCATGTGCCCTGATGAGCCTAAACCCCATCCCTTGTTGCTACAGGTCGGCGTGCATCCAGCGCAGTCTCCATCGCCGGCTGCCTGGGAGAACACACACTCAGCGGATGAGAGGGTCTAGCGGTCCAACCCGATCCACCCATGCCAACACCAAGTAAGGCCTCTTCTGCCCATGCAGCAGGACGAAAAGACACCCTTCCCCCTCAAAGATCTCCAAAGCGCCTTGTTGGGAAGGAACGTCGCCTTGCCTTGACCCCATCGGCTGTGAGGCTCTTCGCCTCAGCGACGCTCCGGGACTGGGACTCTACAGCTTGGGGTTTTCCACCGTTTTTCTAACAGTCCTTCATATGGATTAGAAAATGAGAGGGGGGGGGTACTATAATCCTTATGTGACAGCACCTGGTTTCAACCCTTTGATGCCCTACAATCACCAAGAGTTTAACGTGGGGAAACGCTGAGGGCTGGAGTCATGATGAATCGTGCCAGAAAGGGGAGAAAACGCCCCTGACATGCCCCTTTTTTGCAGCTCAGCATGCTGAATTCTGTCTGTCCACGAGCTTGGTCAAGGTCGATTCTTCCTCAAGCAGCTTCTGGGCTGGCTTTGAGGCGTTTGGGAGGGCTAAGACCTTACAGGGCCCCAGATTCATGATGGCCGGCCCAGTCTGGCAGGGCAATCAAGGCAGCTCGACAGAGGGTTGTTAACAACTCTTGGGCGCTAGACCCGAGGGTTTGATGTCGATGTGTGTTTATTTGTGGGACTATGGGGGTTGGACCCTTTTAGGATGGACTGGCTAGATTGGCCAAATGCCGCAGAAACACCCAAAAAAGGGCCCAAGTGAGTCAAGGGGCAGACTGCACAGCCCAATCATCGAGCAGATCGTGGGAGGCCTTCCTGTCAGTAGTTTCGCAGCAGGTCCTGGAGAGGAGCATATGCAAAAGAGGCTAGTTTAGATGATGCTTCAACAGCAGAATGTTTCGTGGCGGCCGCTCGACGCTGTCTTCCTGTGGATCTCCCTGTCAGGCCCGGCCCGGGTACATCTGCGCAGGATTTCTCTAAAAGCAGCCTTGTGATACTTTGCAGTTGCTTTCCAAGCAGTCCTTTGACAAATCGAATCTTGCAAACGACAACACCTGCAACGCAAATTCTCGAGCCCAAGCCAGCATGCCGACACATTCGCACGGCCGGGGTCCAGTTGAACATCCCCACTCGGAAGAAGTCCATGGTAGGGTGGACGACGGCGAGTGGCAGGGGAGCAATTGTCCGTAAAGGAAGTGTTCAATACCAAGCCTGCGCTCGCTGCGCGGCAAGTCTAGATTCCAGATGTAGCGGGGTGGAACGATCAGCACTCAGCATGTAATACTGTCTACAAGCGACCGCTGCCAAGCGGTCTTGAGCCCATTCAGCCAATTGCAGGGACTCGGGCGAAGGAGTTTGGAGAACAGCCCCCAAAACTGTGGATTTATGGCAGGAAATATTTGGAAATAACCAAGGACAGCCACTGGGACAACCATTGCCCCGGACAATTACCACAACAACCGATGCCCCGAATAGTTACCACAAGACACGAAAATCACGAACCGGTCGCGCCTTACAAGTAGGTGCATAGTACAGTAACAACCTATAAAGACCCTACACCCCCAACCCCCCCCCCCCCCCCCCCCCCCCCCAAAAAAAAAAGAAGGCCCTCATGGTGCACCCTTCTGTACGAATGTATGTATCAGTAAGTACTATACACATATTATACATGTCCCACGTCTGCACTGGCTACTGAGCCTCAGCTACTCCTCGTTGACACTTCCACTATCTTCCACTGTCGCCGTTGAAACTGTTGACAGGCTTCGGGAGTTCCAGATGTGTGCGCGGCCTGCTCTGGCACTCTCAACTTGAGGCAGTGTGCTGTATGCTCTGGGGATCTCGGGACGAAGCTTTCACGAGGTCGAGGATTGGCGACCCCAAGTTCAGCAGAAGATGCCCCATCGTGGCACGTGCGCAGCGCAAGTCAACACGGCTGAATGAGCCCATGAGCCCCGGGCGGACAGAACCCGCCTGACCATCGCATCTCTCCGAAGATGCAATGCATGCGCAAGTGGAGCATGCAGCTTCGGGGACTGGGCACAAATTTAGTTGCAGCAAAGCGGGGTCCTTTTTTTTCACAAGGGACTCGACTGCTGCCCGTTCTGGGGGTCCATGAAGGCCGAGATGCTCTCGAGTGACATCTCCGGTGATGCTGGGAGCTAAGTTGGTATGTGAGCAAGCCAAATCCGCGCAGACCTCCCCCCACTGACCTTCAAAGCCCGAAGCCACCCTCGCAACAAATGTGCCTGGCCATGGCCTCCACCCCCGCGTGAGCCTCAGATTGCAGGCCCCCAGTCCTACGTGACCTGTGACATCCTCCTTGTAAGGCCTGTGGGGGAGCCCGGGCTGTACCATACTGGTCAAACGTGAAGCATTTTGGGCTCGGAGTTTGGGAACTGCCTCGGGAGACTTCTGATTGGGGAGTACTGTGGGCGCCAAATAATGCAAAGTTTTGCTGGGAGTCCGGCATTGTCCAGGCAGTAAACCATGACGTCACCTAGTGTTCCAGGCTGAGGCAGAATGTGTGGCTTTCCAGAGTGTGCGAATGTTGTCAAGTCATCATTTTCAGAAGCATTGACTGCACGTCCATCACACCCACACCATGGCGGAAGCATCTGTGCCTCTAGCACGAAAACCTGAGGCCAACTTTAGTCTTTAGGCACAAACCTCATCCCAGAAGCAACCCTTTAGGTTTCCGTATGCAGGCTGGTTTGCCTGTTAGGGTGCCTCAAAAGCCTCACGCCAGTCCGCATGAAGAACTTGTTGATATTTGCGACAGATGCTCTGGAAGGACGAAGGATCGTCACAGTGAGTTTGCCATATCTTCCATTCTTACCAACCATCGTAGATCACACCGTGATAGCCTATAGCAGGGACTTGCTGGCACTGCACCAGGAACCCCACGGACACTTCCTCTGGAGCTGTTGGCCTGTCAGGGCAGTTTTTCCCAGATTGTCTGACATGACCTTCGGATACTTCGGAATGAAGATCCTTGATCACTGTGCTTGCTCGGGGCTTGGGGGATGCTTAGTATCAATGACAAGCCGACCAATACCACAAGAGACATGCAAGCATGGGCAGGCAAACGAATTCGATCCTTCTTTGCTCCGATCAAGGCTGCGGTTTGGAGTGCTAGCATCACGCCGAAGGATCCAGAGTTGTCTGGACCTCCGCGGCTCATGGCCAGGGAAGTGATGATGCTAACATATGCTAACCACGGTCCGTTTGAAGCGCACCGCACCTTGGACTGCGCCACTGATCCAGCTTCTTTTGTGTCAGGCATGGCCGATTCCCGGGGCAGCAAAAGCAAGCAAGACCGCCTAGAGAGTGAACAGGTCGAAAGGTTGGCCCTTCGCTGCGGCTGCAGTGGCGCAATCTCTGCGACAGTCGCAATGTCAAAACTACCCGTTGTTCTGTACATAAGATGAAGCCAGAAAGGAGCTTCGAGGCCAGATTTGCGATATGCTGCACCGTTGATTGTGGTTGCATGTATTGTCAAAGTCTCCAAGTTCATGGTCTTGCCCCATTCTGACTCGAAGCTCCTCCGACATGCTGCGGGGCTCCCAAAATCGATCTGCTCCGTGGAGTCGTTCGGAGCCGGAACCAGTTCAACTTTCGGTCTAGAGCTACAAGCTTGGCAGGCTGGGAACTGGTAGATCTTGATTGAACCCTTCCTAACTTTCCGCCCCCCCCCCCCCCCAGAAATGCGCAATGCGCGGCAGAAAACGCCCCCTTCGTATCACGATGATTTCTGTGGCCAAAAGACTACAGACACCATTGCTGCGGAGGTTCTCACAGATGCGCACTTGAAGGTTTCAGGCTTCAGGCTTTCTGTAGTAATATGCACGGCAGAACCATACGAGCATGGATGCTCCAAAGCATTGGCAAATATGGGCCGGATGGAAGCTGTCCTAGGGCTCACTGCAAATATCAATGCCAATGAGCGCCCCCTTCCCCGATCGGACATGCACTCCCAGGATTCGCAGGTTCGGCATCCATAAAATTGAGCTCAAGAGCTCGCTCCAGTAAGAGATGGGCAGGAGAGCCACAGCAGCAAACTAATTCGTGAATTCAGCAGCTGTCAGCTTGGGCTTGCGACTTGTCCGATTGCTTCTCCTATCCTGTACTGGCACCTGTGTTCAAACTCGAAGAGGCCCAGCCAAGCAGGACATTCAAATGTCGCCTACACCTACACATGCCTGACATTCCAGTCTCTCATCGCGCAGCTCCATACTAAAAGGCCAAGCGCTTCATGGGGCGGGACCCTCGCCTGAGTGGCATCTTGCACAAGAGAAACGGCAGCTCTTTCAGGACTCGCGGGTGAAGCGTCCACGCTGCGGACGTCTCCACGCAAACTTGCCGAACGAAGCTCGTGAGGGCAGTTGCTTCCCGAGGAATTCAGGAATGCGGATTGAAGTCGAAGCAACAGACTCACTGAAAACACAACTCCACGAGACACGGCCCAGCAGCTCTGGGCGATCAGCACAGATTGCAGCTGGCGGTTGCCTTCATGCAAGCTGTTGGAGCCCGGAGGCAGTTCCCTCCGATCGTGGCTACTGACTCGAAATCCAGCGCACCATCGAGTGAACCCCTTGAACTCAAGGTTGAGGTGCAGGCCTTACAAGACATATGTTTCAGGTCATAAGGCACAGAATTGGTATGAAACCATCAAATCTCCACAAGCGCCACTAAGCGGTGAACAAAGAGGTCAGTTGAACACTTCGCGGGCAGTGAACCCACACTGCCTTCTTCATTGACGTCATTCTGCCACTCCTTCGAGACAGATGCCCAGGGAAAAGCATCCCTTTGACCAAGTCGGAATGTCGCGAACACCTACCTAGAGAAACTTCGAACTTTAGGATTTGTCGATGGCCCTTTTCCAAAGACACCGTGTTGAGCAAGCTGTTCCAATGGCGCCTTTGAAGGGAAAGCAAAACAACATTGACTATGAAAGGACCCTTCTCTTCAAATACGTCCAATCACACATGCTTGTCTCCCATGTGCATGTGCTCTTTAAAGAAGGTGTTTGGCATTTTGTTGGGAGATGGGGCGAGCTCTTACCATTTACTGTCTCCTTCAGAGTCTTGCTTGAGCTTGGGCACGTGTCCATCCATGGAAGCCCCACCTTCCAAACCCGTTTCCAGAAACCGCACACCCTCGACCCTCAGCCGAGACTCGAAACCCTGCAGTAAGCCCTAAACCCAAACCCCAAAACGCAAACCTTACACCCATTGTTTCCCAACCCCCCCCCCCCCCCCCGCAAGTTGAGTCCTGGAGGTCGCTCTTCAGGTCTTCAACTTCACTCCGCAGTCGCCTGGCACGCGCAGCTTGCGACAGTGAACCCCGGGCTTGGCAACGTGTAAGCCACCTGCATGTCTTGCAAGGGGGGGCCGCATGGCGAGCCCCAGATCGTTGTTCATTCTTGACTCGGTGACCTTCTGTAACTGGTGCGGGCACCAGTATACCCGATTTGGATCCTTAGAAATCCCCGGAGTGCTTGAGGCAGCTGAGGGGCTCTGTCAGTTTCCTCTCAAGCTCGTAGAGCATGATCTTGTTTATCCTGAAGCAGCGTGGCCCTGAAGCCCCCGGAGCTCAAACCCCTCCACGTAAACCCTAAACGGACCTGAAATCGTCAGGGCCTCTGGCTCCCTTTGCTGCTCCTACTGTAATACAGCTGGCTGCGAAAAAAGGAACCACAACCCATTGCTTCAACCCCTCATTCTCAGGCACGTGCGAAGTTTGTAAGTTCGGCACCAAATTGGCCTAGTTGGTGCTTGTTAGAAAGCATGTGCACAGTCCCAACGGGGGGCGTGGCCTCAAAAGTTTTAAGCTGTTAGGGGGGGGGGGGTGCAATCAAGAAGCCCATCAGCGCCCACTACCCAGTTTGGGGAAATGATGGCTGTGGAGTGAAACAAAGCGCAGGCGCTTCAGAAAGTGGTTTGAAGAACAGTCTGCGCACTAGTCTTTGAAAGGTTTTCAAAACTACTAGGTCTCTTGCTTTTGGGGCATGGTCTGGGCAGCAGAAAAAGCGTAAGCGCAGCTGCCGTGTCTAGCAGAAAGAGCATCGCATGCTGAAATGCCTGCCCCAACCCTGGCAAGAAGCAGCAACTCAGCTGCTCTCTGTCTCTTGCACGCTGCTATGCAAAGCCCACTCATCGAAACAGGAAAGGACACAAAACCGGCGAGAAAGCATGGACAGTAGCGAACCCAACCACCAAGCCCAAAGCCATGACTTCTAACATTACTGATGGCGCTGATTCTGCAAAAAGACCGCGCTGAACTTGGGTTTGGGGACCATGGGGAGAAAGGGCGATCTTGTTGATGTAGGGTCAAGGGCTTCAACTCTCATGCTGGTGGGCAACCTGCTCTGTGAAACAAGCAAGACTTCCGCACAACCTAATTTGTGCCCGGCAAGGTACGTAATCAAAGCCCAAAGGCCCAACCCAACATTAACACAACGCGTAAGCGCACGGTAACACTCTAGCAAGACCTTCCGGCCCCCATAGGCGTGAGCATGGCAAAGCCTAAGAAGGCCATGTCTGAAACATCTCATTGAGGGTATTGCTTTTGGGGATGGGCATCGCTTCCTCAATCAAGACTATGATATCCGGGGGTATACTTTGGGGCTAGGTATCGCTTCCACAGCAAATTTGTTGATGTCCCGCCCAAAGCTACCTAAAAAGGCGCGGGAGAGTGCTTTCAACCAGTGGTTCAGATTACAAGACTGATCTGTGCGTACATCTTTCAGCTAAACTACTTCAGCCAAGAATCCGAACCGCCTCCTTCACATCCTTTACCGTCGCTGGGTTCGAGCCCCGCATGCCTATGTGGCGGAGCTGCCAGCTTGTAGCTTGCAGGCATTACTTTACACTCAAACCAGAATGAGAATAACTCAGGGCATCGCAACCGGGCCATTGGGCACAGCTATCATAACAGTTTCTGGGCTTCTGGAATGGAACTAATGCCCTTATCGACTTTACGACGACCTTCACATACTGCCAGCTGGGCGACTTAAGACCAGATCCACGACTTCTTCAAAACGCATTCCAGTCTGCCCCTTCCTCATAGCATCCTGTTCGGAGAGGGACTGTTTGGACTCCTAAATCCTTATTGTCCTTGGTTCAGAAGCCTGCGTCCCCCCCACCGACCCCCAGCTTCTCCCCCCTCCGGACCGAAAACCTATGCCTTGAAGCCACGAGATGCTTTGCCTGCCGATACCGGAACAAACAAGCTTGTTAAAGGAAGGTCGGTGGCCACCCACGACAAACTTTGTTTGGGGGATCGTTTCACAAGGTTTTGGTTGGAGCCGAGTCGGCTGAGCTTCTTGGGTTCTTCCCCGGTCTCATAGTTTCCTGAAAGCCAAGGGCCCTGAAAGCCTGAAACCTTTCTGCCTGAACGTTTGGGCCTTACTGATCCAGCCTTACTGGGCTGAAGCCAAGGCCCTTAAGCCTGAGCCTCCAAAAGAGCGTCTCAGATTGCGGGCCCTTACACCGGCTGGCCCCAACAGGGCAAAGGCTTTGGACCCTGAAGTTGAAGGCGGCCAAGGTCGTCAAGATTCAGGTTGGCCCGAGATCGGAAGCCCCTGCAAGCCCTCCTCCCTTGACTCCGGAGGGCTTCACTAAGGACTTGAGAGCTCATTATCCTCGTAGATGATCTCCAACATGTCGCAAAGGATGACGACATCCACGCCCACAGCATCCACCACTTGCGCGATCCTGGCAGACTGGTGGCTTAGGGTTTAGGGTTTGGGGTTGTTTAGGCCACCCGCCCGGCACTCGCGGTTTAGGGTTTAGGGAGTCGGGCCCCGGGGCCCTGTCACCAAAGTTTGCCTGGATGGGTGTTGCGGGCCTTTTGACTTGAAAGCTAAAAGAGCCCTCATCGGGGCTTGAAAGGCGAAGGCAAAGGTCGGTTGGATGCTTAGAACACCCTCCTTAGCTGGTGGACGGATTCCCGGACCACCTTCCTCGAGAAACTGGATGCAGTCGCACGCGTTTAAAGGCGGCTCCCACATACAGAGCTGTAACAGGTTGTGTAAGGAAGTCCTCGACAGTGAAACCCTGCAAACCCGTGATGAATCGACATTTTGCGACAGCCGAGCATCTGCGGCTCCACCAAGAGCTGCTCAAACTCGTACTTGGAGATTCGCATCCCGTGCTGGTATCCTGGCAGTCACCCCCTACCAGATCAGCCCCAAACATGCTTCAAACTAACCTCCCGTTGCCGCCCCACGCCTAGCTTCTCCATCTCCACACGCATGGAATCCGCGACAAAGCCCACAGCGGCCCTCTCCTCCGTACATTTCTCCCTTCTGTGGACTTGCACAGCCTCTGCAGTTCTTGGGCTGGCCCTGTCGGGGCATCAACTTTTAAGGTAGTTGCTGGGAAGGCTTTGGATACCTCTCATGATTATGTGGCCTGGCACATGGCCAACAACTTAACGCTAGCTTTTCTCTAGCGAGGCTGTTGATGGATGGCCATTGACTTCTGAACCCTCACGCCCAGCGTGAATGTGTGA